GGTTGGGTTTTTTTTTTGGTAAAGGAAAAGAGTTATGGTATTCTTTTTCTGACAGAATTTGATAATAACTGTTGGATGTTTGGTACGTTTGTATCACTTCCTTTCTTGAAAGGTTGGATAAAGCCATAATACTTCTGATTCTTCGTTCAGATTCCCATTTTGGGCATATTTTGGAGTCAATAGATGTATGCTCCTTACTATTACATAGGATGCATTTTTGCTCTTGACATTTAACTTTGCAGAAAATAGTGTTTAAGCAATCATTACATTTTTGTTCCTTACATTCCATTGGACATTTTAGCTCATTATCACATAGAAGGCATTTTTTGGCAGACCGGCAGCGAATGGCAATGTGCTCTAGACGACCACAGTTAAGGCATTGTTTGACAGGGAAAACATACAGTTCGGGGATTACTTTTGTGCCGCACATAAATATTGATTTTGGGACACCATCATGGTTGATACCAATTTTGATTGTTTCCGTTGGGATCAGTTGATTCTGTTCATTTTTCCTATTAAATCTGTATATAGATATAACATCCATATCGTTGTTATTTTTAATGGACTCTTTTATTGTGCTTTCCGTAATAGACGTGGGAACATTTTTTATTATGTAAAATTTCTGGACATATCTATCTGGAATTTGAGCAGTAAGACCAATTTCACTAAGTCTTGTGTTTTGCGAGAAGTCGTAAACAGACATGTAATTGTTGAAGGTTAACCGAAAGGTGTTATAGCCAACATTTTTGCTTACATAATTATCCGGTGTGTTGATTTTCTGAAGAAGCGCATAAAGATGGAGCTTTTAATTTTTCCTTCTGGTACTAATTGGTTTTTCCGATTTGATCAGTACAAAGAACGGTCCCGGATGACGTTCAGTATAAAGAAAACTATTAACATATGAAGGATTAAAATTCAAGTCTTCCTTTGCATTTTTGTTTTTGGCGGTTCGGTTTGTATGGGTAGACCGTTGTTGTTTTTTAGCGACTTATTTTGGTTTGTTATAATTTCTGCTCGTCTTTTAATATTATCTCCTGGCAAGGGAGGAGGCCTTGGTGGCGGGGGTGACTCGCCATGTTGTAGGTGGATTAACTCTCCATGTTGTAGGTGGATTAACGAAATTTATATATAAAATTATTTAAATTTCGAAATGGTTGAAAAAATAGGCAACGTAGTTGTTGTAAATACTGTTGTTTGTAACAAGTTCACGACCAGCGCTTAAAACAAGTCTAGCATCAACAGCTGTTGATTCGCGACTGACTGAAAAAAAATCATGTTCGTTGTGTAAATTAATGAAAATTTTATCCGAAGCTGTATAATTTTTAATGTTCTGACCAGTGGAACACAACGATTTTTAATGTACCGCAGTCGGTACATTACGATTTTTAGTGTACCACTGCCGGTACACTACGATTTTTGGTGTACCGCTGTCGGTACACTACCATTTTTTTAGTACCGCAGCTGGTACGCTAAGATTTTCCTTGTGCTCCGGAATAGTAACGCTAAAAATATTTTTAATGTTTGTGTACCGGTTATTTTAGTGTACCTATCCACCTTGGTACAGTACAGAACACTATGGAACGGTACCATAATGTTTATTTTCGAACGCTGGTAACATGTAAAGCCATGTACAGACGAGCGTTGTTCGCTCTCTCATTCGTTGTTCGACCTTTAATTATGAAGTAATTACTTAGTTCCCCATACAAAATTGTCTGAGCGAACACCGACTTTTGTACGTTGGTCAATTCGAATCGCTCTCTGAATCACCAAGAAATTTGTCCCATCCCTAACAACTGAGAGCATTTATCGAAAATAAATTAATTTTGACAGCTTGAAAATATTTATAAAATTTTCAAACTTTTTTAGTATTATTGAAAATGATGAATGAAAAGTTAAAAATTGTCTAGTTTTTATATATGCAGCAGGATGTAAATTTTGTTGTCTACATAATGCAATGTGAATTTCTTTCCCCATGGTTCTAATTAGCGTACAAAACAAGAAACAAATTTGGGGACACTGAAACAAAAAATTCTCCAAATTTTTATATGTGACATTTGAATTTAGAAAATATAAAAATGTATGAAAACCAAAATATTTTCAGAAAAAAAGGAAAACATGAATTAAAAGTAAATAGATATGGGTTCTTAATATAGTCAGGAGAAAGACAATTAATTTTTCTATTCAAATCCATATGTGATTCATGCAAATATGTTAGAATTTGGTGTAAAACAAAAAGTTTGAAATAAAAAACTCTGATGACATGAATTAGGAATAGTGTTGTATGAACGGGTTAATTCATGTACGTAATTCTGAGAGCGAACTACGTTGTTCGAATGCCCGTCAGAACATGGCATAATAAGATAGGCAAGTTATGTAGTGATGACAATGACAATCGTAAATCGGGATCGATATATCGATAAGCATAAGACTAAATTAGTTATACGTAACTGCAATACATATCACCATTTCTATTCGCAATATGAGAAGACGAATTTCCCTTACGGCAAGTAGATGATATAGTTTGACGAACTGAAGGAACAGATTTCCGAACACAAAAGAATTTGGTGGCTTAGTGTCCTTAAATATTTTGACACATAGTTGGCAATTTGAGTGTGTTTTAATGTAATTTGAAATACAAATTTTGCACAACAAATACCAATTTCTGTGTTTCCAATCCGGATGTTGGTGGAAAAATTTAAAGTCATTGGTCTTTGTCGAAGAGTATCCTGTTTCTATAGGGCAGTCTTGACTGTGGTGATAAACTTCTCGTATTCCCCATCCTCATTTCCGATTTATTGGAATAATACGATGAAGGACAAATCGACAATTTCCGAATCGATTTTCGTCACCTTGCATTTGCTAGCAGCTTGTCTGGTAATGTGACGAAACCGTAATACATACGCTCACGATCACACCAGGGCAGGATGGTTATATGGGGATATGATATAATATAAATATGTTATAAGGGGAATATGTTATAAGGGGTGTTGGAGATGGTAACCCTGCAATTACCAAAGCTAAAAAAGTGTAGCCAAATTTGAAATACCAATGTCATAAATGGCCGAAATATCCCAAGCCATTCTGGCCATTGTTTATTCCCTTTTTGTTAGAACCCAAAAATAAGTAAGTCGTGTTAATTTTTATTGTTTTTAAATTAAATATTTTTATTTTTTTTTGTAAACTTAATTTTTGTTAAATTTTTAAAATTCTTACAGAGAATAAACAACTACAACTAAACTCACTATTTGTAAACAAACAAACAAACCAAATAAACGCAGCTTTTTTATTTTGCCGAAATCCTGCCAGTCTTGTCATTTGGGAGCCAGCCGAGTTTAGGTTTATTCCTGGAAATAACAAAAAAGGACAATTTTATTCTTTATTCTTTGTTTATTTGTTTTATGTCAATTTAATTTCTGTCGTCAATTGTCTTGTTGAATTTGTGTTTATTGTTGCTGTTTATTGAAGCGGACGGACATTTTATAAAAACAGCTGTCACCACTTTAAGTCACAAAAAAAAAAATAATTCTTACCTGTATTCAAGAAATTCTGCCGGTTTTATGCCACAAAACCAAGATCTGACCAGAAGAACCAGTGGACGCAGCACTCAAGGAATTCCGCCAGCCCGATATAACCCTGACACTTACGATATGTCTGTCGTTCGCTCACCAACAGGAGATACGCCTACCAGCAGCCACCAAAAACAGCAACAAATACCAGCTGCAGCCGCAGCAGTCAATACACCGCCCGCCAATACTTCTGAATCTTCTTCTTCTTCTTCTCAGTTACAGCTCCAAAAACCGCCTTCAAATACACCAGCCAAAACACCAAATCCTGCAAATGAATTAGCCGAGATGAGAAAACTTATGAAATTTGAAATGGAACAGATGCAACGTCAGATGAAAGCAATGCAAGATGAATTTTTAGCAGCACAAGCAAAAATGCAAGCACAACTAATACGTCACAGCAGTTTGCTTCTTTGCAAAACACAATGTTGCAGCAAGCATTGCCTACACTGACGTCACAACCACCAATTTTCTCAAATCAAACGACACAACAACCGCCATTGAATACGCCGCAACAGCCACAAAGGAATCTGCCACCACAGCCGCCATTGAATCTGCCACCACAGCCGCCATTGAGTCTGCCGCCACAGCCGCCATTGAATCTGCCCTTACATTGAGTAGTTTTGCCATCACAAACAGTACCGCCAACAACAAGTCAACAGTTGTAGACTCAAGTGCATCAACTGCCGCCATTGTCTATCAACACAGATGAGTCTTTTCCAAATTCACTTACAAATAACTCCAACGGAAATGCACATAAAAAAATTTATCCCTTGCCTATTTTTTCAGGTCTTCCAGAGGAGTGGCAGGCATTTTTCGAAGCCTACGAGAGCACCACAGCCGAATTTGGTTACTCCAATCTTCATAATATCATGCGTTTGAGAGATGCATTGAAGGGCCGTGCAAGGGAAACAGTGGAATCCATGTTGGGGAGTTCTGCCAACGTCAGCGCCATTTTGGAAATTCTGCAGGAAACATTTGGTCGACCAGAGCAACTTATCCGAAGCCAAGTAGAAAAAGTCCGAGCCATTCCCCCGCTGGTAGACGATAATTTGGATGCACTTGTCAACTTTGCCAACAAACTCTCCAATATGGCCACTTTCCTAAAAAACGCCAAGGGTGAACACCATCTATCCAATCCATCGTTGCTGAGTGAGCTAGTGTTCAAACTGCCAATAAACCGCCAAATGCAATGGGCCGAAAAATGTCTGCAACTCCAGCACCCCGCCACTATAGTTGATTTCAGCGATTGGTTGGGAATATTACGCCGTCTCGCACATATGGTCCACGACGCACAGCCAATTTCAGCAACCTCGTCCAATCGCCGACACACACAAACACAACAAAAAAAAATACGCATATGTCGCTGTCAGTTCGAGCTGTCCAATTTGTCAGGGAGAGTGCAACAATATAAAAATCTGTCCACACTTTTTAAAAATGACCATCGATGACCGATGGAATAAAATTAAACAAATTAAAACTTGTTTTTGTTGTCTAAAAAGAGGCCACCAGCTTAAAGATTGCCACTATAAGCGCCGTTGTGGCATAGATGATTGCCAAAAATCACATCACCAATTGTTGCACAAAACACTTGCGACGCCATACCAGGAACCGAACCGAACATTACCGACACACGATTTGGAGCCACGAACGAACACCCCATCTCTTCCCGACGCACCACCGTCTCAAACACAACGAAGAAATTGTCATGCCGCCCACTACACCGAAAACGTACTGTTCCAGATTTTGCCCGTGACGCTATACGGAACACACAAACAAATTACGACGTATGCGTTCATTGACGACGGCGCCAATGTGTCCATGCTGGACGAGGACGTTGCTCGCGAACTCGGAGTACACGGGAAACCGGAGATTTTAGAAATTCAGTGGCTTAATAACCAAAACATAAACGAAAAAACTGAAAAAATTAATTTGACAATTAGTGGTGTCGGTGAGTACAACAACAAGTACCCGATAACCAATGTTTACATTTCGTCCAATCTGTCATTGCCAATACAGAGTTGCCATCTAGCTCATTTAATTAAATCCCGTGAAATCGACCAAATCGCCGAAATCCCATTCCGGGATTATTCGAATGTTCAACCTAAACTAATATTAAGCTTGCAACATTCATTTTTAACAGTTCCCTTGGAAGCTCCTCGTATGATGACCGATGTTGGACCAATCATTACCCTAACGAGATTAGGCGCCGTAATATATGGACCGATCCCAGGCGAGAAGAGTTCCAATCTTAAGCGGGCTTTACACGTTAGGAAACGTTTCGAGGAAGAAAATTGTGACTTGCTTCAGGAAATGCTTACCATGATGCGGCAATATTTCGACGTGGAGACATTGGGTACCAAGGTAAATGTGACACCAATTCTGTCCATAGATGATGAACGAGCGTTAAAAATATTAAAAGAAAACACGAAAAGAATTGATGGGCGATATCAGTGTCCGCTTTTGTGGAAAGAACATTTTTCTCCAATTCCAGAATCGTACAATTTGTCGTACAACCGATTGCTGTGTGTGGAACGAAAAATGGCAAAGGACAGTGTATATGCAGCTCAATATTGCAAAAAAATAAGAGATTACGAGGAAAAAGGATATTGCCGTAAACTTTCAGTAGCAGAACGAGAAAGAAGGAGCGATCGAACGTTTTATTTGCCACATTTTGGCGTTAAAAATCCTAACAAAGATGGGATTCGTATCGTCTTCGATGCTGCTGCTGAAGTTCAACAATTTTCATTAAATAAAGCCTTATTACCAGGACCTGACATAAATAACTCTCTAATCTCTATTCTTTTTAAATTCAGGGAATTTCCTGTAGCCGTGTGCGGAGATATACAAGAGATGTTCCACCAAATTGTAATCGCCAAAGAAGATCAGGACAGTCAGCGATTTCTATGGAGAAATGGGGATCCCAGTCAACCCTTAGAAACTTATGTAATGGAACGGATGATTTTTGGAGCCACTTGTTCGCCCACCATAGCCCAATATGTGAAAAACCTAAATGCCCGAAGGTTTATAAATGAGTCGCCAAGAGCAGTACAAGGAATCATCGATCGTCATTACGTAGACGATTACGTCGACTGTTTCCAGACTGAAGGTGAGGCCGTTGAAGTGGTACGTGATGTCATAAAAATTCACAAAGAGGGTGGATTTAATCTCCGCAACATCAAGTCTAATTCCCTCGTTTTACAACGTATGTTTGGCAACCCTATTTCTGATGAAAGTGATGACAACTCCTTTTTTGATGATGGAATGGAACGGGTACTCGGTATTCATTGGCTGCCAAAATTAGATGTTTTTTGTTTTGAATTAAAATTGCACAAAGTGGATGAAAAAATATTGAAATTGCAAAAAGTGCCAACGAAACGCGAAATGTTGTCTTTAAATATGTCCGTATTCGATCCATTCGGGTTTCTTGGTGATTTTATGGTGACATCGAAGATAATTATGCAAAATGTGTGGAAAAGTGATATAAAGTGGGACGAGGAGTTGCCGGCCGCGATTTATAGCCGCTGGAAGACCTGGCTGGAGGAATTGCCGAAATTAAAGGATTTCAAAGTTCCAAGGTGTTACAGTGATGGATTTTTTAATGGTATAGTAGATTTACATGTGTTTGTGGATGCCAGTGAAGATGCAATGGCTGCTGTGGCATACTGGCGTATAGTAACAAATTGTGGTGTAAGTGTTGTGTTCGTTATGGGCAAGACGAGCTGTGCCCCAACAAGATACCATACTATACCTAAGCTTGAGTTACAAGCAGCAGTAATTGGAGTGCGAATGAAGGAAAAAATTTTGGAAAATCATTTGAAGAATATTAATAACATTTATTTTTGGTCAGATTCCTCAACAGTGATAACTTGGATTCGTTCAGAACACCGTACATACAAACAATATGTGGCAAATAGAGTGTCGGAGATTCTGGAAAGCAGCCGTATGGAGCAGTGGCGGTGGTGTCCAGGAGCGGATAACCCAGCTGACGAAGGGACCCGTGCTAAAGGACCCAAGAAGTACCAGCCAGAAGGACGTTGGAAAAATGGGCCAGAATTCCTGAGAAAAGAAGAGAAGTATTGGTCGGACGAGGGACAAATTGGAACCTGTGTGGATCACAGCAAAACAGAGCTAAGAAACAAATACAAAGTTTTGGTGGCTTGCCAGGTATGTTTTTGTATTCCAGATATTAATAGATTTTCAAAATATCGTAGGCTGAAACGGGCAATGGCGTGGACATTCCGATTCGTTGAAAATATGAAGAGAAAATCAGTGGTGTCGGCTGATTTGACGGTGGAAGAAGAAGCACGGGCAGAAATGTATCTCTGTCGCTGCGTACAGCAAGAAGTATATGGGGATGAAATTCTTGACATACAGAGAACTGGATCAGTGTCTGCCAACAGCTCCATAAAGTCTTTAAATCCACAAATTGGAAGTGATGGTTTGCTTCGGGTATCTGGAAGAATAGAAAATGCTGCTTTTTTGTCCCTGGATACCAGACGACCAATAATTCTACACAAAGTCATCGCTTTACACTTTTGCTGGTGGAATTTTACCATTCTCGTTTTTGTCACATAAATGTTGCCACTACAATGAGCGAAATTCGTTTGAGATTTTGGATTCCGTCACTTCGTCAACTTCTAAGAAGCGTTCAGTCCCGATGCCTTGTCTGCAAGATTCGTAGAGCCAAACCAATTCAACCGCAAATGGCCCCGTTACCCTTGGAACGTGTCACACCTTATGTCAGAGCCTTTACCTACACAGGACTTGACTATTTTGGTCCTGTAACAGTGTCAATCCGGAGACAACGCGAAAAGAGGTGGGTGGCACTGTTTACATGCCTTACAGTTCGCGCTGTCCACTTGGAAATTGCAACAGACCTGTCGAGTGATTCCTGCCTAATGTGTATTCGGAACTTCATCAATCGAAGAGGCGTCCCAGAGGTGATAAGAAGCGACAATGGGACGAATTTCGTTGGCATAGCAAAGGAGCTTCAAGGTATAACCAATTTTTTAGACACTAATTCCGTTTCTTCTGGTCTGACAGCTCTTGGAATAAAATGGGTCTACAATACGCCAGTGAATCCCAGCGAAGGCGGAGTATGGGAGCGTCTTGTCCAATCTGTTAAGAAGGCTCTTTACATCATGCTAAAGGAGCAAGCCCCAAAACTGGAGACTTTACAAGCATTCCTGATTGAAGCGGAGAATATGGTCAACAGCAGGCCACTTACACATTTGCCAGTTACTCCAGAAGACCCAGATCCATTGACTCCAAACCACTTTCTGCTAGGATGTACCAATTCAACCCAGACTCCAGCACCGTTTGAGCCTAGACTGATGTGTTTAAGGAAGCAGTGGCGCGTCACCCAAAATTTGAAGAATGGCATGTGGCATCAGTGGCTTCGGGAATATCTTCCAGAATTAACTCGAAGAACAAAATGGTGTCTTCCTTCTCGGTCGTTGGATGTTGGTTGCCTTGTGTTTGTTTGTGATCCAGAGATGGCTCGGAGTCAATGGAGACGAGGACGAGTCATCGAAGTATTCAGGGGCAAAGACGGAGTGGCACGATCAGCCAAGGTGAGAACGAGTGCCGGTGTATACCACAGACCTGTGTCCAAACTTGCCATTTTGGACGTGGAAGCGGCTGGAGACGGAGTTGGTGAAGCCTCCCCCTCTGGGTCAGTTAACGGGGGTGGGGATGTTGGAGATGGTAACCCTGCAATTACCAAAGCTAAAAAAGCGTAGCCAAATTTGAAATACCACTGTCATAAATGGCCGAAATATCCCAAGCGAAGAGGGAGACGAAACTAAATTTAAGCCAACATCTTCATTTTGTTTATTTTTGTTGCTTTGCTTAATGTCACCTTTTATATAAATAGGCCCTTCTGGCCATTGTTTATTCCCTTTTTGTTAGAACCCAAAAATAAGTAAGTCGTGTTAATTTTTATTGTTTTTAAATTAAATATTTTTATTTTTTTTGTAAACTTAATTTTTGTTAAATTTTTAAAATTCTTACAGAGAATAAACAACTACAACTAAACTCACTATTTGTAAACAAACAAACAAACCAAATAAACGCAGCTTTTTTATTTTGAAATCCGAAATCCTGCCAGTCTTGTCATTTGGGAGCCAGACGAGTTTAGGTTTATTCCTGGAAATAACAAAAAAGGACAAGGGGGGTCTGGGGGCTACCCAGAAACTTGGATCAATATTTATAATTTTTGGTAAGGATATGTGTCATGGACCCAAAATACCAAATAACAGCCAAATCGATTGAAAAGCGTGTGCAAAATCCAGTAAGTAACAAATATTAGGGGTACCGATAGATGCTTGCAATACAAACATCCTACTACTACTTGCAATGTCTGTGCAGAATTTGATGTACAAATTTAGAAAACAAACTATATGAAAGAATCTTCAACAATCTTGCAATGCTGGATCATATGGTATAGAAATAAAATACTATAATGAATGTGGATATCAATGAATTATATTTTATTACTACTAAGTATTAATAACAATTAATAATTTTTTCACTTCATTCACTACACTTCACCAAGAGAAATAAAAAGTGTACAGAAAATCAGATCTAATGAAATAAAGCTTTGATATAATAATTCAATCTAATCATATGATAGTATTAAACTCCTAATTTTATGAGGTATAACCAAGATACAAAATAAGCTTCAAAACTTCCCAAAATAAAAAAATCAACAAGGAATGTTGTAAATAATTTAGATGATCGTTTTAACGAAATTTTCAGTAGCTTAATGAAAATTATTTTTTTGAACGGTTTCCATTTAATAAAGAAATTTGTTTTTGGAAATTTAATCAAATTTGCTTAAAAATATCAACTAAAAAATGAGATTTATTTTTTTCACGAGGTCCCATGGCCGGGTACCATACCTTATATTAAAAAAAAATCTTTTGCTTTATTTGATTCAAAATGTTTATTCATGTGTAAGAAAATAACTATAATTGTTTTTTAGTTAAATTGTTTATATTTTATTCATTCATTTTAACTTATTTCTAATATTTCATGTCTTATGTTGATTCACCGTTAAAACATGGAAAATATTTCGATATTATTTTGTTGATCACAAATTGGTTTCTTGCAAGTGTTGCAGACTTTTCTCGATTCTCTTCTTCTGTTGTCTGGTAAAGAAGCACACAAACAACAGCATCCTGTTATAAGAATCCTGCCAGTAGAAGCAGCCGTAGAAGTGGATGGTTGCTAAGTATATTGTACCGTCTGCACTGGCTTCCCCAAAAAAACTCTCAATTACTTTGATAAAAAAAAAATGGCGCGTTACTTGACGATTGGTTACTCTTTCTTCAATTATTGGCGCACACAAATCTCCAGCAAGTTTCTGCAATTTTTTTTATTCTTGTTGTTCGATATGGATCAGTTCAGTTGTTCTCATAAAATATATTGTATGCCGCGAAAGCACCTTTTTGTGTGTTTCTGTGTGGTATATTCACGAAGCGTCTGGTCCATAAAATCCACGCCACCTTTAGTTCTGTTGTAAAAAATGATGATTTCTGGTTTGCCGTTTTCACCTACAGTTGCATCATCAAATTCTTACGGAAATTGTTTTCCGCTGTTTATATGAAACCCAACGGTCCAACTCTTATTGTCTCCCATTTCTGTTGGTGTATAGGCTTTATTTCGCCGCAGGTTTTCAACAATGCTTATTTTGACGGATAGCCCCATTGTTGGTATTATTCCCATTGTTGTTGCGTCCATAAATCCCTTATATTTTCATCATTGGAATGTTTTGCGCCTGCTATCATCATTCCAATGAATGCGTATATTTCTACCACTGCCGTATCCTTCCACTTCAATTGACGCTTTGTTGGGTTTACTGCATTATAGGCATCATAAGTTGAATTGGTTTTATTGTAAAATAACACTTGAAGTGTTGTTGCGATGTTGTGACTTCTTATTTGATGAGAAACAGTCGGTGCTTGTTGCCATTGAGTACAATCACGTGTGTATAAGTTAGATATGTTGACCTTCAACTTCCCGAGCTCAGTTAATCACGTTTGCTGGTTGACACAACGGGCATCTACTCAGCACGTTCACTCAACGGAGACAGCAGAGTTCAAATGCCACAGGGCGGTGGTTGTTGTTGGTTTTTCTCACCTTGGTACATGAGAGGTTCTTGCTCTCATTGGAAGTATTTTAGCAGTAGTAGTATACGATCACCGCGATCCTCTGCGATTGCACTGGGCCCTAGCGTTAACTTGACGTTTTGATTTGAAAGTGAAAGCACCAATGCCTCTGACGCCACTCCAATTTACATAAAGTAAATTGTGGTTCTGTATTTGAAAAGAAATCAATCCAATAAACCACCAAACTATTTTTTAATATAAAACTAATCACCAATTATTTTTCCTTTTTTTGTTTTGCATCACACCCCCATACAAACATTGGTCCATCGAGCCGGATTTGGAAAAATACTGAGAACTAATTGCAGTTTTTTTCTCATTTTACATAAGGAATCAACATTATACATGCATCCCCCTCATACCTTCATCCACAGCATTAATCACCCTCATCACCTACTCATCAATACTCAACAAAAACAAGGTAAGTAAGTTTAGTGTTGTTCATTGTGAGCATAAAAAAATTATACCGCAGTGGAAAAGTGTTCTTGTTTAATTATTTCACGGCACTGGTCGCCTTTGTTACACCCTATTTCTCTATATTGAACATTTTACAGTCCACTCAAATTAAATATTATCGATAAAGTGAACAAAACCAGTTCTAATTTTTTATTTCCGTCACCTAATATTAATTTAAGGCGAAAAAATGTATTTTTCTTAATATATATTTGGTTATTTTAGTAATATTTACCAACCGGAAGTTATTATTGAAAACAATTATTAATATTTTTAAATTATTCACCTCTTCTATTGCATTGTTGAGAGATATTTTTCTTTTTATATTTGTTATTATTCTCAACCATAACAACACAATAGATTTCAACGCCGGTTTATTTTATTTTTCCTCCGCCTATCTCTGTTGGTTCGTTGTCATTGGTTTGCTTGTAGTGTAATCACACCAACAAATTATTTCATCTCCCTAACTCTCACTGTTTCGTTAATTTGCTTGTTTTGTGATCAACAACAACTAATATTTTCATATTCCACGCGCTTTTTTAGCGTCATTCGAATAATAACAAAACCTACCAAAAATTTATTACTCTCTTCACCAATCCAATCTGGAAACCCGTCATTTCTCTTGGTTCAGACCACCTCCCCATCATCGACTCCGTAAATAGACCACCCGATTTCATAACCTCTGAACGCCGAACTTTCCTGAACCATGGTAAAGCTGATTGGCAAGGTTTCAGAGATTTAACCAATCGCCGCTTCAGAGAGCTGCCCATTCCCTCAGATCCTCGGGTAGCTGATGATAATGAGGAGCTTCGTCGTACAACTCCTGAAGACCCAAGAGTGAAAGAACTCACCCTTGAAGTCAACAGATTAGTATGCGAGCGCAAGCGGAAAAAGTGGCTGGACCACCAAGCTCTGCAACATTGGAGCCGCAACAAGTAAATTGTGGGCAACGGTTAAGTCACTCTCGAATCCCGGAAGGAAGGATGATAGAACGGCTGTCACGTTTAACTACGTAACGATGACTGATCCGAATAGGTGCGCGAGTTTTTTTAACCGGCAGTTTATTGAGCACCCCGGGAGTGATGATGTTGCTGATGTAAACGCTAAATCATCCAAAGCGTTGGGCCCGGATGGAATCTCAATAATAATGCTGAAGCAACTGGATGAACCTGGGGTGGAGTACTTAACTGCTGTTCTCAACCTGTCGTTAGCCACCATCATTGTTCCTGAAGCCTGGAAAATAGGTAGGGTGCTCCCGCTACTGAAGCCAGGCAAGGATGCCAGCAGAGATGAATCGTACAGGCCTATTTCTCTTCTGTCTCCAGTAATAAAGATGCTTGAGTCACTACTCCTCCCTCCGATGAGAAGTAGGTTTCCAGTCTCTCAACATCAACATGGATTCCGGAGAATGCACAGTACAACTACAGCATTACACGCCATAACCACAATGTAAGCAGAGGACTTAACCAGAACAGGCCGTACGACAGGACAATCTTGGTGGCTCTTCACTTATCGAAAGCCTTCGATACTGTCAATCACGTTAAGCTGTTCGACGACATAGAGAAGACCAACCTCCGGCCTAGTTTGAATCGTTGGATAATCAATTACATGTGTGATCGCCAGTCATATGTGGGATTTAGAAACAAGAAGTCTAAACACCGTAGAGTGAAACAGGGAGTTCCCAAGGTGGGGTCATATCTCCGGAACTATTTAACCCCTACCTTTCTGAAATTCCACAACTACCGGACGGCGTAGAGATCGTAATGTATGCGGAGGATTGTACGATCATGGTGTCGGGCCCTATTATCGATGACATCTGTGAAGGTTAAATGTCTACATAGCTGATTTAGTACAGTTCTTCCATCTGAGGAATATGAAGATATCCACCGCCAAATCCACAGCCACTTGTTCACCACATAGACGGCTGAACACAAACTACCCCAAAATTTCGGGTGTAACGTTCGATAGTTTAATAAGTCGACCGTCGAAGCAGGAACAAGGTCCTCAAGTCGCTTGCCGGCAGCTCTTGGGGTGCTGATAAAGACCTCCTACAAAAGAGAACCCCTAGATCAAGAGGCTTATCGAGCAGGAATTACCAGCATTCACACGGAAGCATGACACAGGCAATGGACCAATATCATGTGAATACAGTACTAGGAGTCCACCCACCACCTATAGCAGCAGAAGAGCGACAGCTGCCTAGACAAACGAGAGTGGTTTTATCCCAACTAAGATCGGGATGGTGCAGCCGCCTCAATTCGTATTGAGCCAGAATTGACAGCGCGGTACCAAACACATGCCCTGCATGTGGACTTGGACCTCACGATACGCAGCATCTCTTCAACTGCCCTGCTAAATCCACTCATCTATCTCCGAAATCTCTTTGGACGCAGCCGTTAGAGATTGCAACCTTCCTGAACCTGGAAACAGAGGAGTCAGAACCAGAATAAT